CAGAAGATGCAAAAAAAAGCACCTCAATTGCCTTCATATTTAAGGTCAGCCACCACAAAATAATAAGCACCAGCACACATATAAAGATACCAAGAAATGCCAATTCTTTTAAACAGCGTTGATTTGAAGAGAGATGCTGCACGTACAGAGGGCTGTTTCACAGGCCCCTGCAGGGCAACACACATGGGACGGGGCCCCACAATTTTTTTTTTTAATCGATGTGGGACCTGCCTCGGTACAGTGTGAAGAGCTGCCCTGCACGTGGAAAAAAAAAGCTTCTTTCACTTAAAAGTTGACGGCGTATCTACTCACTAAAAGTAATCTTCCAAGTATCGGTCCACTCAACCAACAAATTGCCCTACTTGACCATGTCGAGTTGATCCTTTTCATCACAAACAATAGCATCCAAGAAAGATGATGCCATGGATATATCTTTTCAAAACAAGAGGTGCTCCCACACATTCATCCATCATTTCTCAAACACAGCATCCAAGAAAGCTGATGCCATGGAGAGAAACTAATCTCCTTGATCTTTTGTTTTGACAGTTTTATCAGGATATATCTTGCAAAGGGGGAACTAATTGGTGGTTAATGAAATATAAAACCCTTTAGAAAGTTGCAAAATATAAAATAAAAAATAAATCTAGAGAGAGGAATTGTGTTTTTGATTTATTTTCACAATGAATTCCTACAATATAGCAAATTCCCGCGCAATTGTTCGAACAGAGTAGAAATTTCAAGCAGGAATCAATCCAATACACGAGAGTAAATACATACATTTGCTTCAACAATTTAAACTAAAATTATGAAATTTTATTGATTTTCTAATGGCATTCCTGATGTTACAGCACACTGAGTTGAGGTAATTATTTTATGACCAGCAAAAGAATGAATCGCAAAAACTAAAGAGTATAACAAGATAGTTAAATAAACGGATTTCGCTAGTTCCAAGGATATATCTATACAATTTATTTGCATTTAACTAACAATAAAGAAACTGAACAGAAACCCAAAAACAAAAACATAGATTCCGATCGTCAAATGTAAAACCACAGGTGATTGGTGAATAACTGAGTATCTTACACGATGGCTAGAGGTGATGCGTCGTAGGCGAATGATTTCTGACCCGGGATATTTTGATTTCGTAGATGCTACGCCGTTTACGAATGAGTGAAGAAAATACGTCGTCGTTTCGGCAGGACAAATACAGAAGAAATAGAAAAGGCAAAATGCAAAAATTTTGTGGCTGCTGGGATTCGAGCCCAGGTCTCCACGGCCACAACGTGGAATTCTTACCACTAAACTACAGCCACAAGTGATTCTCATGCTACATACTTTAAAATAAATATTTTTTAAATCACTTACACTAAGAGCAGAAAAATAATTAAATAAATAATGGTTTGTTCTTTCGGAAAGGGAGAAAAAACTTGACCTTCTAAAATGATATTTATTAATACTTGGAGATGGGAAAATCAAAATTTTAGAAATGTACAAGTTAATCCACATGCTATTACTTCCCTACTTAGAAATGTTATATTACTTTAATCATCTAAATTATTTTTTCAAACTAGTTAGTTTGTTTCAATCTATTAAATACACTAACAAGAATATGTGACATGTCAAGTTGACTTGGAGTCCCATTTATACTACTACTTTGACAAACTACGTTAGAAAAAGTATCAATTGAAAAATGTTCACTTTTTAAATTTAGCACTAAATTGTCTATTATGCCCTTTATGAAAAAAGAAGCAATTTTTTTTTCAATTTGTTGCGGATTTCGAAAAGTACATTTCATGATAAGTTACATTAAAATGATGTTCTCGACATTTTAAATGTCATTCTCGATATTTGAATCCGGTTTATATTTTAAAAGTACACATATCAAATCAAAATATTAAAAATGCTCTCGACATTTCAAATATTGTTCTCGACATTTTAAATCTTTAGAATGACATTTCATTCCAAATATGACAATTCTCTATACTTGAAATGTAATTCTCAACGTTTCTGTGTTAATGAGAAAAATAACATTAATTGTTATTTGACATGTACATTTTTTAAATAAATATGGCAGATTATGTGTCAAAAATTTATTGACCAATAAATTTTTTGCAAAAATGTCAATTTATTGTCTTTGTGTGAAATCATAAATTGTTCATAGAGGTATTTTGATAAAAAAAAAATATTTCAAAATGAATATTTTTGCAAGGATTTGTGAAAGTGAACATTTTTACAAATGAACACGTGAAAGTGGACATTTCAAACAATTTCCTCTAAAATGAATTATTCTGAACTGTTGTCTAACCCTTGTCTTTTCATTGGGCTTTGTTTGATCCACAAAAAAAAAAAAAAAAAAAAATCTTAAATAGTGATTTGATATCATTTCAACTACACGTTTTTCAATAAAATAATACTACACGCAAATTCAAAACTTTGTCTCATTTTTTGACCATACATTCTCCATTTATCTACTAATACAAAATATATTCTTTCAAAATAATGTGGCTAAAACTAATTTAGCAAATCCCAATGTGCTGTAAGAAGTGGGAATAAATGCAATGGGAGTTTAATGCTTGAGAGTAATAATATTTGCCCCACAAATTTTATTTTTTAAACCATATTTTAAATGTATTTAAAATTTTCAACTCTTTCTCATTGTAATATTTATATACTTAATTTTTTCTCAATTGCTTATTTTCGACCTTTCATATCTTGTTCTTGATGATGATTTCTGTAGAATATGATTACGTACCTTCCAAGTGAAGGAAAAATACTTTATAATACTTTTACATTTATTCAATTTTAAAAAGTGATCGTCAAATAAGTATTTTATGTCCTTCCAATGAACTTTTTGTACAGAAATCATTATTAGAGATGAGATGCTCTAATTAATGAAATGTTGTGCATAAGATTGCATCGAAAAACTTTTTGGACTAAAAGTGTTACAATGTGCAAAGACTAAGAACTTTTGGAACATAAATCTAATATGAATATAATGACTCTAAAGTTTATTGACTTATTCCAAGTAAGTCCAAATAGCAATCTACTTTCTTGTCTGTTTTCAACTTATCAAAGTCAACCAACATTTCAGTTTAGTTTCCATATATCATTAAAATTACATAATTCAGAAGCTGATTTACATTTTCTTAAACATAATTCTAAGGCAATTTAAACACTGGGAGGGAAATAGGGTAAACGAATTAAGGGAGTCGAAAATGTTTACTTCAATTTCATGTAGACCGTTGACCATTTTGCCAAATTAGATCGTCAACTTTATATTTTTTCTCAACTTATAAGTCAGCCTAGCTATTGATGATCTGCGCCAACATCAAATTCATTTTTCAAAATTTTATACAATAACATAAACATTTCATCCATCCAAAACATTTTCTTCCTCTACCTAAATTTCTAGCTCGGCTATGAGATTAACTCGATATTGGACTGTTTTTGTGACCTCTAAAATTTCTTTGCTTGATCAAATTTGAATTTAGAAACATTCTTAAATAGTAAAATGGTTTAAATCCGATGAATGATCTACAAATAACTATAATTATTTTGTATAATTCCATTCTGAAATTGACATGTAATGACCATAGCAATAATGTAATAAATTAGTTACCTGGTAATATCATAATATTGGCTGGTTCGACGTCTTTTCACCTCTCTTCTTTGGGCACGAAACCTACGCCTAATTGCATTTTACAGAAATCAGCTGCAATAAAATTTCCAAGAAAACCATAATACTATTCACCCTTCAAAAAGGGGCTACGACTTTGGCCTTCCTAGTTGTCACCATTGTTACTTTTTAAAGTAAAGTAGATGTTACTTTCAGAATAAATAATATAATTATTATCACTTTAATCAATAAAAGAAACTTTTTCTCTAATACCTTTTTACTTATAAGTAAATTTTTTAAGATTGGTCGAACATGGACTTAGGGCATTTCCAACCATGACACCATTACACCATTTTGCACCATTTTTTGGTGCAAAGGTGCTCCAACCCAATACCAAACTTTGCACCATTTTGGTGCAAAATGGTGCAAGTGTAAAATGTTGGTGCAACACTATTCACTTTACACAATTTTTCATCAAAATGGTGCAAGTGTAAAATGTCCCTTTTGCCGTAATTTAACATTTCCCAAATAAATTTGTTTAGGGTATTTATGTTATTTGTGCTATATATGTTTTAATACAATAAATTATTATTCTTATTTTTATTAATATTAAGGATAAAATACATAAAATACGATTATTTATTAAAGTTAACATAAAATATATTAAATAGCGACATACATACGATAATCTAATTTTATTTTTAAAAAAAGGATACATAAGGATACATACATATAGTTGCTCGTCATAAATAAATCAAGGATAAAGAAACTCACATTGCACTTCAAAATGCATTAATCGATCATTTGTAGAATGAACATATGAATTCTGAGAATTAAATTGCAAAAATTTAGCGATTTTGTAATATCGCCTATCCAAATTCGAAATGCATTGCACTATGATTTCATATTTTCGTTGTTGTAGTATTTTTATTAATTGTTCTATTTTTTTTATATTTATTAATGAATTTAATCTTTTCCGTAATCTAACATAATTATTTATTTAGTAATTTATGTATTTATGAAATAATTAAATAAATAATATTTCAAATAAGTAAATTATAAAGAATAAAAAAAGGGAAGAAAATTGTTAAATACTGTTCATTTGATGTAATTTTTGGTGTAATAATTGGAGATGAATTTTAGCTAAGTGCAAGATTTGGTGCAAAATGGTGCAAAATTTGGTGAGGGTTGGAGATGGACAATGGAAAAAACTGTCCTATTTTCTGGGAATAACATTGTCAACATCACAATAGGATTTTTTTTTTTTTAACATTAAGTTTTTGAAAAGTTAATTAAATTAATCTTCCTGGTTAATAAATATATTCTCCCCAATAAATACCCCTCCAGGCTCCAGTTTCTTGTTATTTTTTTTGACACTGTTCTTTTTGGTTTTGTCAAGTGGTATACAGATAGATATTCACAACTCTCCCTCCTCTGTTTTTAAGTTTCAAGGCCAATGGCAAGTACAGTGGCGGAGCGTGGCCGGATTATATGGCGCATGCGGCTCCACTCTGCTTTTAGGGCCGCCTTGGCATGCGTCATAGTGGGTGGCACCACCCTCTACGGCCCAGAATCAGTCAGAAAAAAAATAAAGTTCCCAGCTTTCTGTTACTTAACAGCCGTACTAATAGTGGGTGATGCCACACTTGGTGACACACTAAGAGGCTTCTGGCATGCATTTTATGCTACAATCCAAGTAGTCCCGCTTTCAATGCTCAGCTTATGGTTGCTTGGCCCCGGCTTGTTATCCAGCGGCGTGGCAGCTCTGGCAGTGGCACTGTCGTCATTCCTGGTGGTGCTGCCGGAGTCGACACATTTGACGTCCAAACGGATCGCTTTCGGGCAAATTGTTGTGGCGTTTACCGTTGGTTGTTATGATAGTACGAATGTTAGTTACATGCACCCTTTATACGTTGCATCGAGTACTTTCCTCGGTGCTATGGCTTCCGTTTTAGCCTTATTGCTTCCATGCCCTTTGATGGCTTGCTATGAGGTATGCCACACTCGAAAACTTGAATTTGCCCACACAAACATGCGCACGTATTCTCATGCTCACTCTTCTAATTTATTAGGTTGAGTTTGAATCACCAAATTAGATCATATAATGAATTAGTAAAAATTAGAGTAAATTGTGTTTGATTATAGTATTATATTAAGGTGAAAAACCTTTTTTTTTAGCACGCACGTAAAAAAAAAAAATTGCACTATTAAATTTGTTATATAGTTTAGATCAGATACGATAAAAATAGTATAGACTACTGATATTATTAGTTACTCTAATTTCATACTAAATACTTTATATGGTTTAATTTGGTGCACAAACGCAACTGTTTGTGCCAAATTTGTATTAAGGTTGTTATAAATCTTAATCAATAAGTACGTACGAGAGATAGTTTAATGACTATTGAGTAGCGGCATGTATTAGATTAGAATTTGCTTCCATTAAATGTCAATACATTGTGCTCAATGTTTGGTCATTCTACTTTTGGGCGGATTGCAGTTTTAAAGGTTGTTTGATAAAACTTTTATTAAAATTTTATGAACTTTTAATTTAGTCTAACTTTAATTTTAATTGCACATTTCATGAAATGAAGAAATTTTTATCAACATTTCAACCACATATTTTATCATTTTTTTTAATCAAAATTTGCTAAAACTTTTATTAAAATATTTGTCAAACAATCCCTTTTATTCTAGTTATAAATAGTAGATCTCCAAAAATAAATAAATAAATAAATAGATAGATAATAAAAATAAAAATAAACCAAATGCAAAGGACATATGAATGATCTCTGAAGTAAATTCAACATGACAATAAAATACTTAGTTTAAAGTTTAAATTTTCAAAGAATATTTGATCCTTATTTGGTAGGGATTAAAATCAGATTTTTAATAGATTTTAATAAAAGTCAATAAAATGTGTGGTTGAAAAATTATGACTCTCTTGAAATATGTGATTGAAATTAATTGTTAATTTTGACTTAAATTAAAATCTAGATTATAATCATTATTAAATAGGAGCTCGATTCATTTAAACTAGTCATCAACATGCACTCATCTATTTCTTTTTACACATCCTACACTTGCCTACTTTCATAAATAGACGATAAAAAGATTTAGAACCTGATCGAGTCCCATTTTCTCAACAAAATGCATTTTGAAATAGCATTTTAGTTTAGAATGTATAGTTAAAAAATAATGAAAGGTTTTGAATTTGCATATAACATTATTTTATTGAATGGTGTATGATTAAAAATAAAATTTAGAAAAATGCATTTTGAAAATAATGAGAACCAAACAATGAAGCTTCAACTCAAATCCTTTATTAACTCTTATACTATATTGAATTATCTCATCTAAAATTACCCAATTTTCCAAGATAGAATACATTTATTTATTTAAAATAACCTTCAATAACTAAAATGTGATTTTGTCCATCCCCCCAGCACTGAATTTCAAGCAAAATTTTACATTGATTAATTTTATTTATTTTTATTTCAATTTGATTACTTTAATTTTATTTCTTTTTTAAATTTCACATACACAACCTGTTCGTCCCTGTCTAATCAGCTAACCAAATGAGAATTATGAATGCTGGGAAATGCTGTTCCAATTTGCACCTGACATGTTAGTTGCTAATATTCCTAATGCCGACAGGTACACAAATTGTGCAGAGTATATGCTGAAAATGGTTCAGAGAGGATGAATCTCTACTTGAAAGCTTTCAGTGCCCCCAACAATCAAGCCAAAATGGAACTTCTCTCTCAAGTCAAGCCATTTGCAGAAACCGGGAGCAAACTTTTGAATAGTATCAGAATCTTACAGGTAATTTGTCAGTAAGCTAAATCTGACATTAGGATAAAAATATGCTAGAATTTTGGTTTTTCGAATTACTTCTGAAATCGCTATTTTCTTCGACAGCCAGCGATGCAGTGGGAGAGACCTTGCAGCAGACACTGGAAACCCGATTTCAATCCAGGAGTGAGATTACAATCCGTGGAAATGCCAATGAGGGGAATAGAGAATGCTCTAATCTCTTCTGCAGCCTTTCCGGTGGGTGGGGTTCATCAAGAAGAGCTCTCTAAGGTCATACAAGGTGTGTCGATGCAGCTTGGTCTGAAAACAGAGCAGGCCAGATGTTTCTCGCCTTTCAATTCGATGACAGCACCCGAAGCAGCTGGAGTGGTGATGGAAAAGATTCTCTTGCCACTTGAATCGATGTCCATAATGAACAAGTCGGTCCTTTTCTTCTTCTCCTGCATAGAAATGTTCCTGGATGATTCGACTGTGAGACGAAAACAAGAGTCTTCTTTAGGTACTCGCATATCCCCTGTTGAAGTCCAAACTCAACAAGACCCTGCAGTGTTTGCCATCAGAAATGCCTTTAGAAGTTGGATCAAGAAGCTTATGGATAAAGAAAGATTGGTATTTGCATTCAAGTGTTCACTTTCTTTGGGGCTGGCTGTGCTATTTGGTTTGATGTTTAACAAAGAAAATGGGTGCTGGTCAGGTCTCACAATTGCCATCAGTTTTGTAACAGGAAGACATGCAGTGTTCACAATAGCAAATACCAGAGCACAAGGGACTGCAATTGGATCGGTCTACGGCGTTCTCTGTTGCTTTCTTTTCCAAAACTATGCAGAACTACGTTTCTTAGCCCTTGTTCCTTGGATCATTTTTACCGGCTTTCTGAGGCACAGTCGTATGTATGGCCAAACAGGAGGAACATCATCCGCCATAGGAGCATTATTGATACTGGGAAGAAAAAATTATGGGACTCCAAGTGAATTTGCCATTATCAGACTCACCGAGGTTCTAATTGGGCTATCTTGTTTCATTGTCGTAGAGCTTTTTATGCAGCCAACCAGAGCAGCCACTCTTGCAAAGAGTCATCTACATCAGAGCCTGATCACACTTCAAGATTGCATAAAACATATAGGTTTGTATTGTGGGCAAAAAGACCAGCCATCTTCAACATTTCATGAATTTAGAAAGAATCAAGAAAACCTGAAATCCCTTGTCGTTGAGCTGGAGAGATCCACAGCAGACGCAGACTCAGAACCTGATTTCTGGTATTTGCCCTTTCGTAGTTCTTGCTACCAGAAGCTCGTCGGATCTTTGTCAAATATAGTGGATGTATTGTACTTCATCATCTACAATTTGAAAATACTTTCAGAACTACCAGAGAGTTGCAGTGTTGCTCGCGGGGAACTACAGGAGAATTTAAATAATGCTATGGGAGATTTCCAGGAAACTTTAAGCTCGTCACTGCGATGTCTTGAAAAGGCCAGTTTGAGGGAGTCATCTGTAGTCTCTACAGAACCAGATGAGAAAACAATCCAAGAACTAGAGGAGGGAAAACTCCAAAACCAAAACTCGTTTAGTGATCCGATTATGGAGGATGGAGAGTCAAACAAGATTCTAAGGTACGCTGAGCATGCTGAAAAGGAGGATAATGAAGGCAAGAAAGACATTAGAGGAAGAATGGTTCTCTGTTCAGGTGCCTTGGGATTTTGCATCAGTATTTTGAGGAAAGAAATACAAGATTTTGAGATAGGCATAAAGGAACTAGCCCAATGGGAGTATCATTCAAGGCAATAGAAACTTTGATGTTTTTTCAGGGGACTTTGATGTAACACCAATGCAAAAGTAAATAGGGTGGCAGCGGTTGATAACTATAGGCAAATAACGATTTATAGTAGTACAGATAGCTAATGCCTCTTCAGTGGCACAAAATTAGATTGACATATATGAAAATAGTATGTATGCAATTGATATCAGAAGAAACTTATGAAAAATTAAAGAAGCACAGAACAAAGAAAAAATCTTATACAGGGGGGGAAATTATTGTTCTGAAGAATTATATTGTCCAAGATTATTATCTAATGCACTAGCGGTGAATCTTAATCACTGTCCAGGCAAAGATCTTACTACTTCAAATACACGTTTGTTAATGAAAATAACAAAAACGTCAACAAAGCTAAGTTGACATCACACACATACAACAGAAGATGCAAAAAAAAGCACCTCAATTGCCTTCATATTTAAGGTCAGCCACCACAAAATAATAAGCACCAGCACACATATAAAGATACCAAGAAATGCCAATTCTTTTAAACAGCGTTGATTTGAAGAGAGATGCTGCACGTACAGAGGGCTGTTTCACAGGCCCCTGCAGGGCAACACACATGGGACGGGGCCCCACAATTTTTTTTTTTAATCGATGTGGGACCTGCCTCGGTACAGTGTGAAGAGCTGCCCTGCACGTGGAAAAAAAAAGCTTCTTTCACTTAAAAGTTGACGGAGTATCTACTCACTAAAAGTAATCTTCCAAGTATCGGTCCACTCAACCAACAAATTGCCCTACTTGACCATGTCGAGTTGATCCTTTTCATCACAAACAATAGCATCCAAGAAAGATGATGCCATGGATATATCTTTTCAAAACAAGAGGTGCTCCCACACATTCATCCATCATTTCTCAAACACAGCATCCAAGAAAGCTGATGCCATGGAGAGAAACTAATCTCCTTGATCTTTTGTTTTGACAGTTTTATCAGGATATATCTTGCAAAGGGGGAACTAATTGGTGGTTAATGAAATATAAAACCCTTTAGAAAGTTGCAAAATATAAAATAAAAAATAAATCTAGAGAGAGGAATTGTGTTTTTGATTTATTTTCACAATGAATTCCTACAATATAGCAAATTCCCGCGCAATTGTTCGAACAGAGTAGAAATTTCAAGCAGGAATCAATCCAATACACGAGAGTAAATACATACATTTGCTTCAACAATTTAAACTAAAATTATGAAATTTTATTGATTTTCTAATGGCATTCCTGATGTTACAGCACACTGAGTTGAGGTAATTATTTTATGACCAGCAAAAGAATGAATCGCAAAAACTAAAGAGTATAACAAGATAGTTAAATAAACGGATTTCGCTAGTTCCAAGGATATATCTATACAATTTATTTGCATTTAACTAACAATAAAGAAACTGAACAGAAACCCAAAAACAAAAACATAGATTCCGATCGTCAAATGTAAAACCACAGGTGATTGGTGAATAACTGAGTATCTTACACGATGGCTAGAGGTGATGCGTCGTAGGCGAATGATTTCTGACCCGGGATATTTTGATTTCGTAGATGCTACGCCGTTTACGAATGAGTGAAGAAAATACGTCGTCGTTTCGGCAGGACAAATACAGAAGAAATAGAAAAGGCAAAATGCAAAAATTTTGTGGCTGCTGGGATTCGAGCCCAGGTCTCCACGGCCACAACGTGGAATTCTTACCACTAAACTACAGCCACAAGTGATTCTCATGCTACCTAATATTTTTTAAATCATTTACACTAAGAGCAGAAAAATAATTAAATAAATAATGGTTTGTTCTTTCGGAAAGGGAGAAAAAACTTGACCTTCTAAAATGATATTTATTAATACTTGGAGATGGGAAAATCAAAATTTTAGAAATGTACAACTTAATCCACATGCTATTACTTCCCTACTTAGAAATGTTATATTACTTTAATCATCTAAATTATTTTTTCAAACTAGTTAGTTTGTTTCAATCTATTAAATACACTAACAAGAATATGTGACATGTCAAGTTGACTTGGAGTCCCATTTATACTCCTACTTTGACAAACTACGTTAGAAAAACTTTTCAAGTTATGGCGCAAAGCAATGGTAGAAGTTGGATTGTAAGAAAAATAAATGAGATGATTAACTTTAAGCTTCAAAGCACGTTATGAACTATTAAGTCACTTTTCTTGAGACATTGTTTGCCCTCACTATATCGTGATGCACACATAAATGCAAATACACCTTGAGAATGGAACCGAATATGTTGTTTGCGTCATGCACTAACGTTAATAACTAAACACCAAAGAGAAAAATAAAGTCCTTGTTTGAGTCACATTATTTTCATAAGAATGCATTTTTGAATAGTATATTGATGAAAAATCGTGGTTAAAAATTAAAGAAATATTTTGAATTTGCATGTAATATTATTTTATTGAAAATGTGTAATTAAAATAATATCAAATTACTATTTAAAAATATATTTTTTTAAAAGAATGTGGATCAAACATGACCAAAGTGAAAAGAAATTATTTGAGTTTTTTCTTTCCCCTCATAATCAAGCTTTATTTTGAAGATTTGTAATTTCATGATATTGGTTAAAACGATTGTTAGTTCACATAAAGGTTTAAGAAAATCATGAGCCCCCTAATGTGAGGAGTTTGTTAATCGAAATTCTCAACCTCTATTTGTACAACTAGCAAAATTCAAGGTTTAATGGATGCTGGATCTAGAGCTGTTGCTTGTTGCTTATAACGAGGTAACAAATTATATAATATTATTTAATTTTAGTGATTAAAAAGGTCACAATAATACTTCGTGACCAATTTAAAATTTAATTTAAATTTCAGTGACCATTTGGTGAAATTAACTAATCGAAGGCACTCCGTACTCACCAGACGAAGTATAAAATAGTAGGAAAATGCCAAATAACCACATTTGTTGACACAAGGGATGACACATCTCTCACGATCGAGGTGTGAGTCCCGAGCCAATAAAATAAGGAGGATGCTAGGTGTACATTATGGTATCCATAATGGGTGCTATAATGTACAAGTAGATAAATCCATAAAATAATGTCGACCTCCTTATGTGAGTGTGATGTGTCAATCGATGTATTAACAAATGTGGTCGCGTAGCATGACCCAAAATAGTATCGTGAAATCAATTACAAATATGGATTGCCGTGAATTCATGCGTCGCGACCGTAGTTGTAGCCATTCTGAGCCACTCCCGCCCGTCATCGCTACACCGCCTCCTCTTCCTAAGCCTTGTACCCAGCGATTCAAATCTCGAGATCCTAGCGATCCGCCGCCTATGCCTACTTCCAAAGCTATAGCTACGAGCACAACCCCTCCGTGCTCTACTTTGACTCCTTATAAACTCGTAGATGACAGCAACAAAAACAAGAAAAGTAACGCTCCAAAGTCCAACTTTCAGAAAACAGTAAGTTTGAATCACGAAACATTATGCCATTTTGTACATCATCATAATAATTTCTTAATTTTTCTTGGGAAAATGTGGAGGTATGTTTGGCTGATTGTTGGTTGGTTAAGGCGGAACTAGACTCAAAAGGGAAACGACTTGCCGTTGCTGGAATAGCTTCTCGAGAGTACTTATGTTGGTTTTTTGTTTATTGTCTATAGCATACTTTTCTAATTAGCTGAAATTTTAGCAAATTGCGTTTTCCTTTTGCCACTCGGTGTTCAATAAAAAGTTTATTTTCCGAGTGAATATTATAATTATACATTTCTACAAGAATAGGGGATAGGAAATCGTCAATTTTAAGTCATTTCAAGTTCTTTTGATTCCAAGGAAATTGTAAATTTTATTAGGTTTTACAAACTAAAATCGTCACTTGTAAAGTATCCTCATGCTGTTGACATGCTTCTTATGTTTGATACGAGGATCAAATGGGTGGATTTATGAATGTTGCTTATATACAATCTGTTTCCCCCATTGGAAGACCACATGTTTATTTCCAAATCCTTGCCTCTAAAGTTTAGAAGATGCACATTACTATATCCACCACAAGTATGAAGCATTGATGCAGCCAAAATTTTTGGAACAATGAACGCTCCTAACATCACGTTAATTCTTAAAATACCCACGAATTTTAGAAATAGGTTTGTTCAGCCCATGTTTGTCAAAAATTATCGTTTTGTTTAATCCCCATTTTAAGAGAAATAATGCATTTTGAATAGTAGATTGATGGAAAATGTGTGGTTAAAAATTAAAAAAAAAAGTTTTGGATTTGTGTGCAATATTATTTTATTAAAAAAAATGTGGTTGAAAATGAGTTTTGGAAAAATGAATTTTTAAAATAATAAGAATCAAATATGGGCTATAATTGCTTATAATTTAGTCAAACTTTAATATTATCCACACATTTTGTATGACACTCTATTTCTACCTACTTTTTAACCACACGACATTGTTCTATAGCATTGATAGTTGATCTTTGCTATTAGCAGAACTCAATCAATGTTTATCCAAATTTTTGGTTGAACTGTCAATTTAAGTTTTTGTCATATTGAATAACCTCTCTATTGTCAAACTTACCCTGCAAAAGCAAACAAAATAAGAAAACAGACAAGATTTTTTAGGCAACCTTAATCTTCACCACGCTACCTCACTCATTGCAGATCAGATTCATGATTTTCATCAAAGGCGTCACTCGTGCAAAATTTCTATAAGTATGTAACAAAGAAATTTTAACTTAGGACCTTTATATGTTCTAATATCACGTTAAACGTCATCTAGGACATGAACATCAAAATAGGCAAACACGATCTATTTATTTACGTATATTTATCAACTTTACCAAAGCATATCAACAGTCATAGAATAGTACCACCCACCCTACCCAAAAGATAAATCTTAAACCTTGAAAATATATTAAAACAAAACCATCGATTTTGATTGCGATTGACTCTTTTAATTTTCGGTTTTTTGATTAAACTCGACTCATCGCATACCAAAATATAAACCTAATTAAATGGTTTTGTCAGCCGATCCGACCCACTAAGCCCAAAAGAACTAGTGGATCTTGTCCATAGGGTACAAGGCATGCCACTCTAAGGATCCGTTTGATTGTAAAGGTGAAAAAGACAAGCTAATTTCATGTAAATTGGAAAAGAAGACTCCACCAAAATCATATGAATGCATTTTCCACTCAATTGGTCAAAAATAGCTTTAAGTATTTGTGCCATGGAATTCGAACTTCATTTTCACTTTCGTATCAAATAACTAAAGCAAAAGACGAATTCCTCAAATGTGACATTTTTCATGAAATTGAAGCAAATCGAACGGAATAGAGGTACTAAATCTCAAAGATTCTTCTGCATTGTTCAAGTGAACAGAATAGAGGTACTGAACTCAAACTTACCTACTAACATTCCATTACATGATTTTTTTTTAATTCTGGAGCAGGATGCCCTTGCTGGTCGACATAGCTGCTTTCAGAGGAGTCGAATTCTCGACTAGAGAAGCTTGACATGTTAATGTAATTGTAACCATATGTTTTTGTAATGGAAATGCAAGTATGCTGTGGGCTCGAACTTGGATACTAGGTCAGAAAATCTGGATTAGATCTTTTGAATCAACAAAATGAGTAGAAACATACTAGGCTATGTTAATTGTAGAAATAGTTTTTTGTAATTTTGTCATAACATTTACGAAGAAGTAAAGGTTTTAGCAATCGATTTTCTATTGCAATTAGGGAGTATTAATTTTTGTGTACGTCATTCTTTCTGTGGACTGGTTCTTCTCATTGAAGCTAGTTTTTCTAGGTTCATGCTAGATATGTCTTAACACTTTCATCTTTTTATAAATTTATCTTCAATTGATATAAATGAGTTTTGGGGTGATTGTTGGTGTGGAGAGCAACTGTTAGGGAAAGATTTCCCTATATGTATTGTATTGTTTTGGAGCCGTCTAATATGATGAATGATGTCTTAGATGTACATAACGGAAGTCACAGTTGGAACATTGTTTTTATATGGGGTTTGCAAGATTGAGAAATGGATGATTATGCGTTGCTTTTGACATCTTTGTATGAGGTGCAAGGGTGGTATTTTTACTTTGAATGATTTATAGGGGACAAGTGTTAATGGTGATCTTCGAATAAAAGATGTTTATGTTACAGAGTGGCGCTATATGCGTAAGAAGGATGGGGAGACGATTAACTACTTATTCTTTAACTGTGATGCTGCATATTTGCTGTAGAACAACATTCTGACGTCTCAACACATGGATTGGATATTGTCGAGGAGTATAGAAGACGTGTTAAAGACATAGAGGATAAAGTTTCGTGATAATGATAACAAACTTGAGCGAGACCTTATTTCGGCTTGCATCGTATGGAGCGTGTGGAGAGAAAGAAATAACGGCTGTTTTGATTATCAAATACGGATAACAGAGCAAATTAGGAAATTATTTTTATTTGACATTATATATTTGATTTAATGCTGTAGCTACTAGTCATATAGACGGGTTGCCCAATTTTATATTTTTTCTTTCTGGCTTAAAGTAGTGATACACTTTCTGTGTATTATTTTTTGATTAATAAAATATTTGATTACCTTAAAAAAGGATATAAATGAGTGTTACA